TTACATTTCAGACCAAGGACCTCTGTAAAAATTTGGAAGAAAAAGCTGAGCGTCTGAGGCAACTACAAGACCAGGCTGAGATGGTGGTCTCGGATTTGGCAACATCGCAACGTTTACGACAATTCCGCCGTCAGCTTGGCGGTGTTGTAAGTCTTTCACGCCTTTCGTCGTAAATATGCTGATCGAGATGTTTAGGCCGATGAAAACACCTTTGACAGTGCTGCTCAAAGGTTCGAAAGCCTGGTTACGAACGAACTTCCCACTGCAGATGATCCGCTCCAATTCCTCGCTATTATTTTACAACTGAAGAAATCGGAAGAAACCGAGACCAAAGCCTTCGAGGACGTAAACGAGTTGGCCTTCACAGATAGAGAAAAAACCGAACGTGATCGGTTAGCTGCCCTATACGACACACGGCAAGATGAACGAAAACGATTGACTTTGACATATATGTACTCCTATCACGACTACTTAAATGCCTTGTTTCGTCAACTTGAAGACAAAGCTATACAGCTCATTAATAATAGATCGCTTGAAGAGCTGCAAGCGTTCAGTGACGGGGAATGGAAACGATGGAAGGAAGCCGTCGGAGAGTTAGAAAGCGTCCTTGATGCCTCGATGCGAGTGCGATTCCGCCCCGAATTTGCTGATTTGCAGAGGAAAGCGTTCTCACTTGATAGTAAAATCGCTAGAACAATCGCCAACTCGGCTAAATATCGTCGACACGAAGAGAAATTGGCCATCAAGTTAACACAGTTTGAAGCTTGGCTGAAGGCTATGGAAGACGACCTGAATATGGTCGAGTCTATGCCTGAAAGTGACGAGCAGACGGCGCGACTGGCTCAGCTGCTCTCCAACTGTATGAGTCATCAGAGGCTGGTCAGCAAGTTGGAGCGGCTAAGTGTTCCGAATCGGGATCACATAGCTCACCTGTGCCAAAAATACTATGAAATAGTGTCTAGATTAAAACGCTACAATATAGAAGAGGGTTCATTACCCTTACATATTAGAACTCTTATTCAAGCTGCCCCATCACAATCTCAGGTACTGTTCGCTTTTTGTTCATATTGG